GACGGTGTAAGCTAAAATTATCTAATTATCTATTTCAGTTAATGTTAATGATTGCGTTGTTCCTTAATCTTTGAATTGGATCCCGCTTATTATTTTTTGCAGACTGTGAGAGCAATTTTATAAAAGTAAACTTGAACTTTCGATTATGTCAAATAGAATTTCCGATGCTGGAACTTCCAAAGGATCTACAAAACGAAAGTATGTTTCGATGTCCAACAAGCAAAAAGTGGAATTGCTGCAAAAAATGGATAAACCCATGAAGAATGTGACAGAGAGGTTAGTGAAAACGAATTTCGATTGACAAGTTAGTCGGTATTCTCGGCACAGCAATTAATGGGACTTGAACAGCGGAACTTTGTAACTGAACAAGAAATTATGTCTTTTTATAGAATTAAAGAGAAAGTATTATCACATAAAATGAAGCAACTTAAACAACTTACATTGAGAGAAATGTTTAATAAAGTAAACAAATAAATATTAAGCTTTTTTTTTTTTTTTTTTTGTAAATTTTGATACCCTTTAGATCATAATTGTTCTTTTTCATAAATTACGGTTTCATATTTTTAATTTTAGAATTTCTGCATGCCATCTTACGAGGTTTAAACTGATGATCTATAATCCAGAAAAATCGATAATCCGGAATCGCCGAAGTCCCGACGAGTCCGGATTAACGACTTTTGAGTGTATATGGTAAATAATTTCAGTGAAATTATATGTAAATTGTACTATTTCTTTTATATTGTAAGATGAATTGAACTGAATGTGAAGCTCTGCCGGAAAAATAAAATTATAGGGACATGTCTATTAAGCACTGTGATAACTGGCTATCTTGCTGCATTGACCACAAAGCGCCAAGCTGGCAATAGTTTTAGCAACTATTTTTTTTCCAAATTTGGCGAGAAATTGCTAAAAGTTGCCAGACTTGGCAGGATCCAATTCCAGTATAACTGTAACTGGTCTGATCTCCACTAACTTTAACCTGTCTCTATGTCATTGTAATTGCATATGCCTTCCAGCAATGGAAATTTCTTGGCTGATGGAGAAAAACTAAGACTGGAAGAAGCACCAGTCCTAGTTTAGTCCAGAGTTTAGCTGAGAGTAAAGAGGGTAATGAGAGATCACTCTACGAATTTACACACTAGAGATTTTTTATATTACTACTAATATTTTATACTGTTACATTTATTTTTAGGTACTTATTACTTTTGTCTTTTTTACTACAAGTATTTAACATTCTCAGTAGTTTAAGTACTGATTGCACTCTGTCATAATCAGAAGAGCTGCACGAGTACTCTCATTCCAGAGTTGTAAAGTGTTTCTTTTGGAAAAATAAATTTTATCAAGGTATCATCGATTCTCAGGGCATTCAATCGATTATGACCCCATACAAACTAACAATATTTTCCCTAATGTCACCTCAATGGTTCGACAAAGAAACAGATTTTCAGTGGAGACAACCGAAGCAATTTTAATTTGCCATTATAATTTTAAAATGAATTACACATTTCTTACATGACATTCTTTACATGACAGAAGAAGAAGAATATAATTAAGAAGATAAAATCAATTTTAAAATAGAACTGGGTTAAAAAGCATTAGCCTTGCATCTTTTTTAATTATTTTTCATATTTCTTTTATTAGATGGGTTTATCTATTTTTTATCAAAGTAAAACAAATCATTACCTACGAACTTGTTTTATTTTACTTATTTAGAACTTGAATATCTCATACCAATGCTTGACAATAATAGCAACCTTACCGATAGTGAAGTGAGTAACAGAGGTTGTTGAGAACAAACAAATTATTTTTTTACTTTATTAAACATTTCTTTCAATGTGCGCATGCGTAAAGTATACATTACGCATAGTCAAAATTAGAAAATTGCAACCAGAAAACTATTTGATGTGTTTCCGTGATATTTATAATGACGAGGAAATTCATTTAAATCATATCAGAGTACATCGAGATGAAACACTACATTTAGTAAGGAATTATAAGCCGAATAAAATAAAAACATCTGCCGTGAAGATGAGGATAGTGCTGACAGATCAACTTCCAGTTATTTGCGCACCGTGACATCCCCCCCCCGGCAGAGGAGCGTGAAATTGATAAACAGATTCCGGAATAGTTAGAGAAACAAATCACCTCTCTGTCACTTTCTTCATGCCTTTAATCCATTTTTTGCAACAATTCCGCTTTTTGTTTAATGGACATCGAAACATGCTTTCGCTTTGTAGATCCTTTGGCAGTTCCAGAATTGGAAACTCTTTTTTGACATAATCGAAAGTTCAAGCTTACTTTTTATAAAATTGCTCTAACAATGTGCAAAAAAATAATAACTCGCATCCAATTAGAAGATTAAGGAACAACGCAATCTGCAGCTTTAACTTAAATAGATAATTTTAGCCTAGCTTATACAGTCCGTCATACATTAAACGCACATGCGTAACGCATGCGCAGAAAGTTTGTAGCTTTCAGGTCCGGATTATAGATCATTCTGGATTATGGATGTCCGGATTAAAGACTTTATACTGTATATCTTTCTAAAGTAAGCATCTCTTTTAGGTGTTTCCAGTTTAGTTGTGTTTTTAGTGAGCAACTTAAAATATTATTTACTAATTTATTTTGTTTCTGAATTCTTTTGACTTAAATGAACTAATATCTTTATTCTGATTAGTATTATTCGTGACTTTTAATTTAGCTCTGCAGAAATATAATTTCATGCTTATTTGGAAGAAAAACGAAACACTCTCACTTAATTTAGTTGTTCTTAATTGATGGTAGATTGGTTTATAAGTTGATTAATCTAGGATCAACAATAGCTACTTTTTTAATACTTTTGATTTTGGTAATTTTGCAATTAAAAATTTTCCTTTACAGATTTTTATGCTGTTAAAGCAATTAAGTTTTTGAAAATACTGATTTAAAATACGGAATATTTTTTTTTTGTTTTAATTGAATTTCTGTTCCTTGGATATGGTATATAAAAAGTTTTCTAATTATATATATATTAGGATTGTGTATATATATATATATATTTGCAAGATATAGTAAAATATGATGGCTACACTAAGAAATGACTGGCAACTTAAAAATTGACTATTCTAAATTTGGTGCTGTCTCCCACCTAAATTCATCTGTTCTCCCAAATCTCGAGATCTTTCCAAGTTACATAACACTGCTTGAAAAAAGGAACAAAAACCTAAAATTAACCAACCACAGCTTAACTTTACTTATACCCCTACCGTGAAGCAGTATAACTACTGCTTCACGAGCAATTATGTCATTCTTTTCCTAACTTCTGCCATGCAAACATATCCACACTGCTATGCTTTCCTAAAATACTTACGTCACACTTTTAAAACCCATGTACATAAAAATTATTGTATTGAAAAGTAATTTGTTTGCCAAAAAAAACAACTTGATGTGTGTAAAAATAAAGACAGTGATCCTTAAAATTCACTTTTGTTAGCTTCGTTTATATGCCTTCACCCTCAGCCATGATGACTATGCATTAAAATATCATAGATGTAAAATATACAAAATATGATGGCTTTGCTCTACGCAAACAGGCAGCCTCTAATTAACTTGCCGCAATTTCAAGATCTTCTTCCTAGACCAGTACTTTCGAGAATATTCAAGCATGTTACATAATCGTTGCTATAAATGAAGAGTTTGTGCCATTTTTCATCAGATTGCTTTTCTCCACCTGCTGCTGTAACACCTTATTGCTGCTGCTCTGTCTTTCTTTATTTTAATAGTATGATGCAGTAGATTTAAAATTAATCATATTCAGTCTAAATTACTATCGCATATGTAATCTTCAATGATCTGCTATTTGCATTGAATAAAGATATGGAGCTAAAAAGTTAAATTCATCTGTGCCAACGTTGGATGTCTTACTTACACTCAGCCAGAATACTGATGCCAAGTTTCGTCATTGATGTGCCCGACTACACATATATGTAATACGGATAGTATATATATACTATCCTAATATCTATTATTTTACGTATAATAAGGTCAGTAAAAAATCTTAAATAAAAATCTAAATAATACAAATACACTCACTTCCAAAAGTTAAGCACGAAGATGTAAAATGCAAAAAAATCAACAAACACTGCTTTAATTGACACAAAATTCGGCAAGAAAGTAGCATATATATTTACGCATAAAACAAATTCAATAATTATATACAGAAATGAAAACAATATTATTAAATTTTTGTAAGTTATTAGATAATGACATACTGAAGACTTAAAAAGAATTATGTATAAAGTGAAAATAAACAGCATAAAATGAAAAAAAAAAAAAAAAAAAAAAGGACATTAATAGGGTATGTGACCCTCCTCATCTGTATACAAAGTTTACATCTTGTGACCATGCTTTCAATTAGGTGGTCAACCACTGCAGAATTAAGCAATCGCCATTCTTCTTGTAGAGCAGTTTCCAGCTCAATAAGAGCGGCTGGAGGTGGGAAACGTGAAGATACAGCACGGCCGAGAGCATCCCAAAGATTTTCAATGGGATTAAGGTCGGGCGAATATGCTGACCACGCCATACACGCAATCCCTTCACTCTCCAGGTAGTCATTGACGCTTATGATGACTCTAGGTAGTCATCATAAGCTCTATAGGGACGTGCATTATCGTCAATTAAAACAAAAGTAAGGCCAACTGCTGCAGCATACAATCTCACAATGGGTTCTAGGACTTCATCTCAATACCAGACAGCCGTCAAAGAAGTGCAGGTCTATGCGGTATTCTTATGAAATCCCTGCCCAAACCTTAATGCTTCCGCCTCAGAATGCTTGATGTTTTGGGAGTGAATGCTTTTTTTTAATTAATGAGCAAAAATTGAAATAATTTAAACAATGCCATTGAGATTTTTGTTAAAAAACTGATTTTCTAAATAATTTAGTATCTAACAATATCAATTTGGCAAATACACAAACTTCTCTTACTTTTTCAAACTGAATTAAAAATGTAGATTTTCCTTACCTGGGCATTCTTTCTTTATATTCTAGAAAGAGAATTAAACAATTAATTTTATTGCTATAATCATAATAAACTTTAATTCTATTCACAAGAAAAATTGCACAATGGTCAATGCATTTGAAAAAATACAGCTTTAATACTAGACAAAGTAACTCTAAATTACAAATAATTTTGTAGACAAATTAAAATTTGATGCTACTCTCCCATTTACATATGGTTTGCATTCCACTGGAAGAATATAAGTTTATGCAAGTGAAAATCCCTCTAATGTTTTACATAGCACACATCCTTAAGCAAGATAGGCAATTAACTATTCAAACTCAGATACAGTAACTGTCTACTGAATTAAACAAAAGCAAAAAAGAAGCAAGACAATAATGACATCTTATTGAGTATAAAAAAACACTTAACATGTGAAACATAATTTTACACCTATTTTATTTACTTTTTTTATAACTTGGTTCGAACATAGTTCTGTCCCACAACAGGCATCTTCAATAAATAAATTTTCTTGCACAAATCTATCATTCAATTATTGCCATTTGTTTCAGATTTGCATACTGTAATATATCCATTTAAGTAACAACATAATACAAATTAACAATTCCTAAGGAAAGTGCAGTAGCACCAGGGATAATATACATCAATAATTTAACTATATGTCAGGTGAATTTAACCTGATAATAAAAACAAGACCTAATCACAAGTAACCTAATCACAACTTTCATCCCTGTTCTTCAATTAATCCATGCACAGATCAAATTTCTTAAATCTAGCTTGTAAGTTTCGCCACCACTTGCCAAGATTGCCATTTAGGTAAATACCATATTAAGCAACTCGCACTGCTGGATGCATAGTGAAACTAGTTAATTTGACATATAATTTTGGAATAACAATCTGCATTTCTTTCATTCTCTATTTTCTACAGAGAATCTCTTAACAATGTTAAAATACACTAGGGAGAAATTTAATCAGAGCTAAATTGGTATTTAAAACTGAACGATTCATTATTTATTATTTATGTTGGATTTCAAATGTATGTAGTTTTTATTTTATACGTGCTTCAATTTAACTTTATTTACTTTCCTGTAATTTTCTATTTAATGTCCTTTGGCCACTAATAATTATTGTTAGTTTAGTTCCTTAGAAGTGGCAACAAAACAATTCATAGAATTAATAAAAAATATGCTTCTGTAGTTAGTTAGTTAGGCTTATTGAAGAAGAATGACATGTTTTATACCTGAGTGATGTTTTATTAAATAAATGAATACTTTAGAATATTTTTAGTAGTCTCTTAGAGTCTGTGATATGCTGGTAGTGTAATAGCTTAATTTGACGCATAAGCAAACATTTTATTGGTACCCTCAGCGGGACCCAAGAGACATTAGTTTGGAATTCTAAAGTATAAAAATGGAAGCTAAAGAAGTTATTTAACTTGAAAGGAAGATTCATAGAGCTGCTTTTACAAAATCCTTCAACGTTTTAGAAGAAATTTTAAAGAAATGTGAAATAAATTCTTCTGAATTACAGTCGGAGCTTAATGTTTTTGTTTCGAAAGCTCAACGTTTGGAAGATATGCACGTACGATATCTTACTCTTAGCACACTGTCAGGAAACGAAATTGAAGCAGAATTCGATGTTATTGAAGATTATCGTGACAAGGCTCTTAGAATTGAAATTAAACTGAAAGATATTCTTCAGAATCTACAAAATGTAAGTACTTCAAATTTAATTTTGAATGAATCTGTTAATAAGAATGTATGTAAAAGTAAATTTAAACTTCCAAAGCTTGAATTACGAAAATTTTGATGGCGAAATTAAGGAATGGTTGTTTTTTTTTGAGCCAGTTTGAAAAAATTGACGATTTCTGTTACAAGTGACTGTTGAGAGTTCACGTGCAAGGGAGGTTATAGAAAGTTTTCCCCCTACATCTGCTAATTATGCCAAGGCCATAGGATGTTTGAAGGCTCATTTTGGTCGAAATGACTTACAAGTGGAAGTTTATGTGAGAGAATTGTTGAAATTGGTCCTGAGAAATACAAATTCTAGTAATTCCTGTAATAAATTATGTGCATTATATGATAATTTGGAACAACAAATTCGGACTCTGGGAACCCTTGGCATTACTACAGATAAAAGTGCTGCATTACTTTATCCTTTAGTTGAATCTTGCTTGCCAGAGGATTTATAAGAGCCTATCAAAGAAGTGCAAATGTTGATAATGGTCCAGACCCAAAATGTAGACTGGACAATTTAATACAATTTTTTAAATCAGAAGTAGAATTCTAAGAACGCATAAGTTTAGCTATGGCTGGTCTTGGTTTGAAGAACAAAGTGACCCGTGGGATTAAATTTATAAAAACTGTTCACAATCGACCATCAACGGCAACAAGTTCGTTGAGTGCTGATTCTCCCACTAAGAAGTGCATGTTTTGCAGTGAAAAACATGATTCATTTAATTGTTTGAAGGCTAAAAAATGCCATTTTCAGAGAGGCAAGATCTCTTAAAAGATAAAGGGCACTGCTTTTCGTTGTTTAAAGGCTGGTCACTGTGCAAATAAATGCAGGAGTTCTATTAAATCTGCAATTTGCCATGAAAATCACAGCGTAATTATGTGTTTAGAATTGCTTAAAAATAACACAAATTTTAAGAAGCCTATTTTAAACGACAATGAAAAAGAAACTAGCGAGGGAGAAAGTTCTGTAAACTTTCTAGTGTTAATAACACACCACAAGTACTTTTGCAAACCCTGAAAGTAAAATTAATTGGAAATAATTGTACACTTTGTATTCGAGCTTTATATGACACAGGATTGCAAAAAACATATTTAAGGAAGGATTTAATTTCTACTCTAGGACCTGATAATACCTTTCTAGACAACAGATTTTGAGCCATACTCCTGTTTGGAGGATAACAAACATCTGAAAATTTACCTCTCTGTCTCTAGTTTTTGCCTCTAATGTCTACAAAATTAAGCTAAAGAGTTTAGACGATAACTATTGGTGCTTTTGGTAGAGCAAGATACAATTTGTGATGCTGCCTGAAACCTTCTGCCTTAAATGGACCATGGATTAAAGAGCTCCAGTCCATGAATATACCATTTTATGACACTGAAGATACATCAGGGCCTGTTGATCTTTTAATTGGTGCAGATGTGGCTGGTCGACTTTTCACCGACAAAAAAAGAATACTTTCTAGAGGTACTGTAGCCATAGAAACTTACCTGGGCTGGAGACTAATCGGTAAAGCACCAGTGAATGCTGATAGGGAAGATACGGCGATGACGATTGTAACGATGTTTGTGAAAGATGCCAATATTTCTGACCTTTTTTCCTTAGACATCTTAGGAATATTCGATCCCGTCAAGAGTAAAATCATGAAAGGAAAAGGAATTTCTTACGAAGAAATATTTTCAAGAGACTTTAAGAATTAAGGATGATGGTCAGTACGAAGTTGCCTTACCGTGGAAAGATGATCACTTGCCTCTCCCCACCAACAGAGATATAGCGATAAGAAAACTTGAAGTCTCAACAAAAAGGCTGAATTCAGAAAAATTTTTTGATACCTATGATGATATCTTTAAACAATGGACTGAATTGGGTATAATAGATGATGTCACAGATGTGCATGTTTCACACCAGCACTTTCTTCCTTACCAACCTATAAGCACTTTCTTCCTCACCTACCTGTAGTCAAGGAACAAGGCACTACCGAAGTACATCCAGTGTTCGATGCGTCTGCTAGGCAAATTGGATCTCCATCTTTGAACCAGTGTCTAGAATACGGTCCCAATTTATTAAAATTAATTCCAAATCTCCTTCTGAGATTTAGAGAATTTAAATATGGTGTTATTGCAGATATTGAAAAGGCCTTTTTGAAAGTGAGCGTTTGGCCAGAAGAATAAAACTATTTGAGATTCTTCTGATGGAATGATAGCGGCTGTAAAGAAATTAAGGTAATGCAGCATAATAGACTGGTCTTTGATGTAAAGAACAGCCCTTTTCTTTTGGGAGCAGTCTTAGATTATCATTTGGGAAAATATTTGATTGATGCCAGATATAATCAAGATTATGGTTAAGATTCTTCTTTCGAGTTCTTATGTTGATAATTTAGTAACGAGCTTAAATGATACATGTGATATATTACCCTTCATTAAGACGCCTCAAGCCATACTGAGTGAAGGAAAATTCAATTTGAGAGACTGGCAGTACACCAATGATAATAGTCCTCAACCATTTACTTCTGTATTAGGACTTTTATGGGATAGAAAAAAGGATACGCTGATGATAAATCTGGACTGGTTAGACAGCTATAAATTTGAAACTTTGTCCAAAAGAATAATTCTTTCTGTCATGCATAAGGTGTTCAATTCAGTTGGTTTATTATGTCCTGTTTTGCGGATACCCAAATTGTTATTGCAAAAGATGTGGAAAGAAAACGTACCTTGGGACTCTGAAGTCAACGATAATATAAAAGAAGAATTTATGAGCTGGTTTTCAGAACTTCATTTGCTGAAGGAAGTGACCGTATCACGGTGTTTTTCAATTGGTCTATGTAGACAAAACATTTCTCTGCATATGTTTGGTGATGCTTGTCATACGGCCTTTGAGGCAGCTGTTTATATTCATGTGGAGACAGACATCAGAGAATGTCCAAGTTCATCTCTTAACAGCCAAAGCTAGAGTGGCTTCTGTAAAACCCATGACTATCGCTCGACTGGAGCTGATGGTTGCTATGGTGGGAGCTCATTTGTGTGCATCTGCTGTGGAAGGGCTTCAATGGAAAGATGTTGAACAGCATTATTGGACTGACACAACGGTTGTTTTAGGGTGGATTCAAGCGTAAAGAATCTTGGACGATATTTGTGAAGAACAGAGTGAATGAAATAAATAGTTTAATGGATCCTCTTGCATGGAAACACCTTCCTGGGATCCAGAATCTAGCTGATTTGCCTTCTCGAGGATGTTCCGCTAGACAACTGTTATCAAGCAAATGGTGGCAGGGGCCAACTTGGTTATTAGAAC